CTGGTAAGTATATGTGTGTATATATACATCCAAAAAAACAAAACAAATTATTGCCGCCTGGAGCTGTGCTTTTTATATTGAAAATAACAAAATAAATGAGACTATCATCTGACACGTACTGACAATAAAAAGACGAATGAATGAATATGGCAGGAAATAATTTGTGAACAACAAAAGAAGACTGTTATTGATAAATAGACTCTACAGATGACATGCAATCAATCTCTTTGCTCATCAAACAGATGGAAGATATGTGACTTTGGTATATACCATTTGACAGTTTTTTCGAACAAAAAACTTCAGATGTTGTCATTTTCAACTTGAAAATTTGTCGGGCTTTCTTTATTTTTTCGTAACACATGAGTGCAGATTTTCTTTTTCTATTATGTGTGTGCGGGTGGTGTTATAATTGCTTTCAGCACTTTTTCGTTCAGTAAAAAAAAAAAAGACACTTCAAATATTTATTGGTTCTTCTATTATTAAATAATGCTAAAAATGGAAGCATTAAAAATGCTATAGGCTATGATGTATTTAGTGGCATCGATCAAAATATCTAGGGGTTATTGAAATATTTGTCGACAACAACCTTGTGACGTATAAATTTCGTCTTTACTATGTTTATTATAGTTCGATGTTGTGCAGCTTTCGTTTCAACTCTACTAATTAAAATTATATTCTCGAAAATATACTGCATGAACCTTTCACTCAATTGCATATCTCATTTAGTGCAAACATATGTATTTTTTTGACTTAATCTTTGGACCTCTTTAAATGTGCTGACCGGGTTCTTTGAATACAGAAAACTTTAGATCGAATCAGAGATATACGAGAAAGGTTGAACGAAAAGTTGAACTCAATTTGCACTTCACGTCAGCAGGCCTTCACTTTTCAGTTACTGACAGATGAATTTTGTAGTATTACTTCTATGCTGTTGAGCGTCCATGTTGTATAGATTGATTTTACAGTAAATGCTGTATTCCATTCTTTTCAACTATTGAGCTTTGTGATCTACAATTGACGTAGACAAATACCTCAGCAGAATTCTGATTTCGCCTGGCAAAAAGTTATATTTCTTTTTCTGTTATTAACTGACTAACGTTTAGTTTTTCCTCACAGTCTGGGAGAAGTGAAAGGGAGGGAAAAAAATGATCACACGCATATGATTTTACAGTGCATAAAATGTAGTCTTTACGAATGCTCGTTTGATGGATGAAATCGTTTGATGGGTGATCTCGAGCATCGCTGCGGTCACGATGCGTATGGCATACTGTACGTCGCATGACATGAATACATAAAAATTTTGACAACCTTTTTTTATCGTTCGCATTTTTCTTCTTAGATGGAAAGATGCAGAACGAAAGACATAAGGCCAGTGAAAAGTAGTACTGTTGAGAAGAAAAGAAAACAGATTAAGCAAACTACATATGCTAATGCCACATAATCTAACATTCCAAACCATCTGTTTTATGCCTTTGTTTTGTTAAAAGACTTCAAAAAGATATTTATTACATTTGACTTAAAATGAGCAAAATAAACTTTCTTTTTAGTTCATCTTTATTTGTTTAACTAAATTTATGTATATCCTTTATTATTTATTTGAAAAACTGAAAAAAATTCTTGAACATTTCTAATGCACGTTTTCTGATCATTTCCTTCTACCATTTTTCATTTGAGGTTGGTTCAACTCGTTTTCGTGCTAGACTATCTTGACCTATGTTGATGACACCATAGGATTATGAGTAACTTGTCAAATTCGACCAATAGAATTTTCTTTCTTTTATTCTCATTCTTTTGGACTGCTGTTCTTCATCAGCTGTTCATATAGAACGGAGCTGTCAAACAATAATGTCAGCAATTTGATCTTTTTATACCCTTATATCTCACCTTTTTTTTTAAGATTTTGTCCACTCTCAACTAATGATCTTATTTGTGACTGACACTAATACAGCGTCATAACGACGAAAAAAAAATGAGAAAATGATGAGAATATGTAGAAAAATATATAGAGAAAAAGAAAAAAAAGTTTAGTTCACTATGCATAGAATATATGTCATGTATAAACCACACACCACATATGATTTTAGAACGACGAAACGATAGCAAGTAAGCAAGAAGTGTCATGAATGTTGAAAGTAAAACATAGTGTACTAGAGGATTGTCATTATTTTATCAAATATTTGCATGAAATTTTTTTATGAAGTTCGTCTTAAAATTAATATTACTTCTATTGTTCAAATATGTCACCCACATACAAAGATTACAAAATGTATCCTCAGATAAGTGCCATGTCACTCAGCTATGTTAATGCCGACCCACTTACGTAGAACACAAGTTTATAGTTTACGCATAATCATAGATTGTTTCTTGAATAATCATGCTTAAGAAAAAAGTATGAAAACATTCACACTTTTATGCAAACAATAGTATGAAGTATAAAACGTTGCTTCAAGAAATACCAGGGTCTTGAGTAAAAAATTTAATAACCAAAATCCTGGTTATAAAAACTTTTTACTAAAAGCGTAAAGAGAACATTTTATCCATATTTCATAAAATAACCATCTCTTTCCAGACTGTTGTACTAAAGTTTCAGTTTAATAAACGGAGAAACGGTTTGACATAATATTTCTGGAAGAACGAAGTTCTTTATTTGGAGCAGAGTTAGTAAGAACGGAAGAAAGAATAATAAATACACAATAAAATTTGACCTTATTTATGGAATTTAGTTTATTAAACCTTTATAATCATTTGAAAAAAGACAGTTATGTGCTATCTTCTTTGCTAAGTTTAATTTTTCGTTTCTGTAGCAGGTTTTTTCTCAGAAATTTTTCTTAAAGGTTAATATGATCTTCTCAATCTCTGCTCTATTTAAAAAAAATGTCTTTTTTCCCTTTATCCATTTTGTCACTGCATATACACACTATGTTATATATCATCTGTTATTTTTTATGACGCACACAGAATATTTTTCTTGAATAAAGCGATCAACTCTTTCCTTTTCTTGAGGCCTTGTTCATACTTGTGTGTAAATTTTCTCCTATCTGTAATAATTGTGTGCGATGTCTTCGCAGAACAAAAAAGTCATTTCTTTTTCCTGCATTACTTATAGTTTCTGAAAGTTTCAGAGCTTACATCAAGCGATAGAAAATTCATATGAAGAAAAAATGTTTTTACATCTATCACGTCACATGTAGTAGGGGTATGCCTGTTATATCCGAATCGGGGTACACTGGCATGTGTTAAATGAATGAGTGCTTTTAATTTATTTTTTGTGATAATGATAACTATCTAGTAATGTTGAGTATGGATCGAAGAAGAACTAAGCGAAAATATTCTCGCCTCATGTAGAAGATTTTTATAGAACTTGGTAAAGATGAAACAATGTCTCACGAGGATTTCTTTATTTTTGGTGAATAAAAAAATAATTAGAGGTTTTTCGTTATTATTATTCTTTATTTCTCAAATTAATAAAAAACAAGGATGTTTTGTGTTTTTGTAGTTGACTTGTGTTAAATCGTTGATTTTTAAACGCGAAGATATAAATTACTTCACAAAAAACATTGAGGAGGTATGAAACGACGTAGAAAAAATGAAGAAATCTTTAATGAGGTGAATTAAAAAAAGTTCTTTCGAAAAGTCAATCCTTGTCCATCTCGTATGACTATGTAAATGTAGCATATATATTTATAGTAGGGGACAGAGAAAAACAGAGTGTACTAAAGTTAATTTGTCAAAAAAATTTTCTATTTAAAAGTTTATAGGGAGCACAAGGACAAAACACAAAATGAAAAATACCTAGATCATTTATTTTGATAAGGTATAAAGACTATTTATTTAAAAATGTCAGCTATGTGTATGTAAGAGAACATACACGTCTTTCTTCTCTAATCCTTTTCATTTATGTGACACATATAATTAATTTGAAGTTCTAAACATAGTCGCTCATTGAATTTCAGATAGAAAAAAGGAAAAATTTCTGTTATGCAATTTTATGTCTTAATCACATCTATACATACACGCAATGTTGTTATTCTCGACTCTATACTTTTTTAGAGGGAAAAAAATACATCTCCAGCTGTGTTTTTCACGCATGATTCAATTACATGAATAAACGAGTGGATCATTATGATCGAGGCTACCTATTATAAATAATTGATATGAGTATAGTCATAAATAATAGTACTGCTACTCATGCTGAGCTTGTCATTATAACAGACGTTTGTTTGTTGTTTTCCGTGACTTATCCGAGATTTACCTTCTGTTAATATCTCACTAATAATCAGTTAGACAGAATTTATTTCGAAAACTCTGTTAAAGTAAACCTTTATAGAAAGTAGAATATGTTCGACTATTTTAACAATTTGTTTTTCTTTTATCTACCTGAAAAATTATACAGATAGAGAAGAGAGAATCACTTTTCTTGGACTATCTTTATAGTTTTCTTTACTATATATCAACAAAACGATGTTACACCTTTATAATAAATTGTCATATATTAATGAGTGCTCAAAACGTAACATACACATAAAAAAAAAATACGTATACTTCTACTTTGAAAAAAAAAAGGTTAATTTGATAGGATGTGACTTGTTCTAGAAGTCGTTGAGTAAAGACATCAGAAATAAGTATACATGTAATAGCGGGAATCTTTTTTATTTTTAGGTTGTGTTTGATCTAGTTTTATCATGATTTTTTTCTATTTCGTTGAGTGTATAATTAAGTCAGTACTTAGAGATCGATAGAGAAAATCAAAATAATTTAATAATACTTTTTTTTTTTTGACAAATACATTTTCTTATTCTCTATCTCGTTGATTTGAAACGAAAATGAGCTACATCTGTGTAATCGAAATCATTTGCTATTAGGCCAATTAAACAGCTAGAGCATGCACATATAACAATCAAATCAAAGTATTCTTCAGTTTCGCCTCATCAAATTTTTTTTTATACAGGCTAGTTTTTTTCTTGTTTGTTTTTAGATCAAAACATATATATTCTTGAAAAATGAGTCCAACTTTTGCTTCATTAACAACAATAACATCATCGAATACGAACATTGATGCAATAACACAAAAGAAAAATCCAAATTTTAATAGAAACTCATCTTATCCAACAACCAATTCTCTCATCAATACAAATCAAGATCATGGGTCAATGAGAAAATATTTATCAGCCAGTGCAATTAATGATCCTCATGTTTATCCATATAAATTGAAAAATTCAAATAAGTCACCATCTATTGAACAATATCATCATCGTTCTACGACATTACCATCATTAACTGATAATATTATTCAATCATCAAAAAATGTTCCATTTTTTCATCGTCTAAAACAGCGTGTGTCAAATTTATTGAAACATGTCGTCTCAAATACACAGAATCAACAGTTTTCAAGACAAAATCCAAATGAAGCAAAGATGGCTACTGTTATTGAAACAGTTAATGATGATGATGTTGACGGTAAGGCTTATGGCGATTTTATTTACTCAAGCACGTATGTGAAATAGGCGATAAATTCCCGATAAAATTATTTTCATTCTATTTCCGATGTAGGAGAGTCATGTAAATGCATAAAAAGGTAGATTTGTAAAGTCTATCTTTACAAATATCTTTTACGCAATATTGTGCCTTGTTTTAAGAGGGAAGAAGCGCATATTTCTATTAAGTTAATTTTAACCAAAAACCAGCTGACTGTCATTCGATAACAATATTCACTTTCATCTGTTGCGCATATTTTGATATAGTGTTGATCCTTATTTAATATACATATATACATACATATATACATATATATACATATATATGCTATATATATGCGCCATAGTGCAGCTGTAAAAATAAAATCAATAATGTAAAGATATGCCTTGCCGTTGATGCCTATAACCTTGATTTGTGTGTGCACCGCAGCAGAGGAGAAAAATGAAGTACTTACATATCATTTTTGAAGGTTATTAATAATCATTAAATGACATGTGATTGCTATGATTATGTATATTGAAAAAAGACACCTGGCCTGATATCAATCTCAACCAATTAACTAACGCTATTTCAAGTTTCAGAGTACACTATATTCTCAAGTAAACTTTTATATTCAAACTTATTCTTCGAACAAATATTTTTTCGAGGTTTTACTACTAATAGGAAGAAGTCAAAATCGTTTAGCACAAAAGCGGCAGACCTTAGAAGAAGTTTCATATTTAACGGAATTTTCTTGAGAGTCGTGTGTGTGTACCGTGTATTTTAGGGTGATTGAAACATATATAAATGTAGAGATCAATTTTTACGTGCATATATCTATCATTAAGAAATAATTGTTTCGAACCGTTTATATTTTGAAAGTCAATAATTATGTTAAGTAGTCCATTCATTTTCTTCTATGATGACGTGGGTATTAGCTACTCATACTTTTAGATAAGATGATTATGACATATTTTTACAGATAACGAAAAGAGTAGTATACATTCATGGGACTTTATTTTAAAAGTTTCGTTCACATCAAAACTGATAATTGCAATTTTTTTGTTCGTCCTAGTACAATCTCACTTTGTTTTGTTACAAACATATTTTATTATTCATCTGAGGAAATGTGGTTTTCTTTGGAATGCACAGTATGTACACCGTAAATACATATAGTATAACAACTAAAAGAAATTAAACAGACTGGGAACGACATTTAATGTATGTAAGGTCCCCTCATTCAATTACAGTTATGTCCTAATTAATAATAATGTTTTCCTTCTTGATATCAATTATTTTTTTGTTCTTTCTGTTTAGGTTATCAAAATATGACATATTTTGATTATGATGACGAATTGGATATAACAGAAGAAAATGAATTAATGTTAACAAATCGTCTTTTGGATGTTTTACGTGAAAGTAAACTGAAACATTTGAATTGTGGTGATCTATTTGTGCCATGTAATCATATCAAAAATATTTCCAAACAAATGTTAATGATGGCTGCTGAAGAGCCGTTTGGTATACACGGTGCAAAGATCAATATCAAACTGTTGAGTAAACAACGAGACGAAGAAGAAAAACTGGTACAGACAATAAAAGTTGATGCGACGAAACAGTCCACATTTGAGATTGAAATACAGTTGCATGAAGATCAAAAGATATTCAGTTTACGACGTTTCTTATCATTGATGACTAAATCGAAGATGAAATTGATTGAACAATTAAAAAACAGGAGTCCAATTTACATTAGTCCAAATTGTAAACTAATTAAGACACGTTATTATTGTCATGAAAAACCAAAAGTGGCCTATGTAAAAAGTTGACATCGAATTTATTTTCTCCTTTCTATTAGTACAAACGATCGGTATTCAAAGCAAGATTAAAAAAGAAAGTATTTATGCTTTTTTTCTAGGCAATACTCATTCATAGGAAAATATATGCATCTTTGTTTTATGTTTTTACTTCATAATCTTAATTTGTCATTCGTGTACAAGAAGGGGAATACTGGTCAGATGTATGTATTTCTATTCCGTTTTTCTTTCTTCTCTGAATCTTTTGATCTGTTGCTGTTTCTTTTAAGTTATTTTATGTGTAGTTTTATCCTTCCTCATATTGGAAAGACTTTACAATCAAAAACAGCTTCAAGTGAGAATGATGTTCTGCTATGTTAGAAAATCACCATTCTTCTCCTTGTTAGAGTTATTAACCCGTTTGTGTCTAATGATCGTTTAAATACTTATTACTTTGGAATCACTCAGTAATATCCTCTATAAATGATTTTGACCCGATACTATGTAAAGCGTAGCCCTATCCTGTTCTATGACTATAATCTCTCTTTTAGAAAAATTACTAAAGAAATATAGTAATTTGTTTTAGTGAATATTTTATTTTCATATAAAAAAATAAAGGTGCACTTACAGTCTAGAGTCCACAAAATTCGATATCCTTAGCCCCCCCCCCTCAAGGTATTTTATGGAATCTACAATGAAAGTTCTTTAACTCTCAGAGATATTTGGGCACAAACGGGTTAAGGAATATAAATAAATCCCTCGCGAGATAAACAAGTGATGCGATATGCAATATCTCTTTTCTGTTTAGTTGTCTTTTTAAATTTTGTTAATTAGGAAATTATCAGAGCTTAGACGTATATGTCTGATATTCTGTTCTCTTTTATCATCTAATTAATAATTTAACCTAGAACTTATTTATTTTTTTTGTATTTATTAGGAAAATTTTACGCGTAAAGTTCATATGTATCATAGAAAGTGTTATTCGTTTTTTTTTTGTTTGGTAACACTGTTGTTTTTGCTTTGCCATATTTATCCACTTTGCATGGTTTTTTTATTGTTCGCATCCATGTATTTATTACATTTAATTTAGATTTCTCTTTCTCGTCTAATCTCTATTTTAAATGTTGTAAAACTAGTGAAAACGTAACATTTTTTTTCTAATATATTATTAAAAATACACAATTAAACGCTCTGAAATGGCGATTTTTTGCTACTAAACAATGTTAAGAAATATCAGGAAATGGGAGCGGGATGCTTTTGATCTTTCGCTGCCAGCAGCATGTCTTATAATCTAAGTGTGCAAGTGTAAAATGAGAGATGTGTCACTACAAACAGTCATATTCTTAGATCAGCTTTGATTATTATGTGAGATTTGCGAGTATTCTACAAAGCAACTGTTATTACACAAAACACTAAATCGGTCGATTCTTGTTTTGATTTCACATTTTGAAGCGTATTGTTATAATAAATTAACTATAAGCTATACTTCTTTATTGTGAACCTAGATTTGATGTTTTGTTTCGTTATATAAATATATGTTATATACAAATGAACCTCACAGAAACAACAAAAAAAAATTAAACAGCTGATGAATACTTTCTGTTTTATTCGCCATCGTGAACATCACACGATTGTCTAACATGAAACCAATCATTGCTTGATTTTCAGCTGACAGAACTCAATAATAGAAAAAAAGTAAAATTTCTTGTTTTTTCACCAAGAATCAGGTTTTTTTCCAACAGTAACGTAACCACAAAAGTTACTTTCGTCTATTTTCTAGACTCATATCAACCCAATCGAGAAATTTTAAAAGTGTGTTCGATCGAAATGGATTGAAGATTCTAAATCTCCATAATTGATTATTCTTTGGCAAAACAATTAGAAAAAAGTTTTCTAGAGTACCTCAAGTCAAAGTTTGTGGCGTACTAAGTATACAACTAGGAGATTCCGAATTTGCAATCCATTTCGATCGAACACACTTTTAAAATTTTTAGGTTAGGTTGATGTGTAACATATAGCTATATAGATTTATATGAATAGAAAAAAATTTATGTAAAGTAGTAAAGACTATAGAACGAAAGAAAAATCTCGCATTCTTGCATGTATAAAACGACAAATGCGGCATAGTGTATATGAAAGTATAACATAATAGAGTATTGATTATATGTACGACAAATGCGGCAGTATAAACAGGGTATGTAACTTTTAAAAATACTTACAAATCGATAGATCTATTTTTAACATCGTATATGAAAAATAGAACTACAGTTTTCTTGCTAAAAAATAATTGTGTACTGCTTTTAATCATACTTGCTTGATTCAATATCAAGAAGCAGATTACAAAGTTAAAGAATAATAACGAATCTGATTGATCGATAAAAAGTTAAGTCGTCACGAAAACATGACTTAAGTCGAAGTTAAAGATACTGATTGATTGTAAAGTTAATTGAGATCAGTAGTCTGGACAAGACCTATGGTATCAGACATAAAATTTTACATTCTACTTTGGAAGCAGACAGTAGATATTTGTAGTGCATGCAGGTCTTAATGTTTTGACTGTCGAAACTATTTTTCTATCTTTATTATATTTTGGAGACTTATGAAAAAAATTATGATATGTATTCTTTTTGTAGTTACTAAAGTCTTTAGAAATATATAAACACTCTCGCAACTCACTGAAGAAGATCGTTCACTGTGTGAGTATGACAGCTATTACCAATTTTAACACATGCCATTAGACACGTGTCATTAGGATAATATCGTCTTTTATCCATTTTTCATGGATTCACAGAGAGTTATACAATATCGTATAAAATGGGTAGATATCGTATAATCTACTTTTCAAAATAGACTTTGATCTACTGTTTTAATCTTCAAATCAGTTAGTTTCTTGCATATTGAAAAAATTAATTTTTTTCTTTTCCATCAGCATATGAAAGTCATCGCGACATATATATGCACTGCATGTGTATTCTACTTGAAACACTACCATATATGAAGAAAAAATGAAAAAATGTACAGCCCAGTTTTATTTTCGCTTTTTTCAGTCGGTCTAAAACCACAGACAAGTATTATGTCTTAGTACTAATCATTGTAATCAGAATCTTTCCAGAAAACTTCAAGAGCTTAGATGAAAATTCTTAGATTTTTTTTTCCTTATAAAAATCATAGTCATCATACATGATTACATACTCTTTTTTGAATAACCATGCTTAAGAAAGACGACGTATGAAAGCATTCACACTTGTATGCAAACAATAGTATGAAATATAAAATGTTGCTTCAAAAAATACCAAGGTCATGAGTAGAAGAAGCTTCATCAGGGGTGGGTGCGCGTGTGTATGTCGGATTAAAACAGATTAGATGCTTCACACTGTGAAAAAAATTATTCTCTCGTAAATAGCATTTACACCAATTTTTGTGATGAATCAAATATTTCAAATGTGCCGTCATTACTTATTTCATACGAAATATAAACAAAAAATGTGTTTGTTTTAGTATTTTTTGATTAATCACGAGACAACATGACACGTGATACGACATTCCAGCCTTCCGTGCGATTTCTATATAGGATTTTGTATAACCCGTTTGCAATCAAGCTCCTTAATCGTCGAGGATATTTTTCTTTCGATTAATAACATCAACGTACGAGCCTTACTGGATCACATCGAGAAAATTCACGATGTTTTAAGTAACATATGAGTTTATTATATAGACTTGCTATCGCGTTCAGTTTCATAGAAGGTAGATTGTAAGGCACAACAAATGTGCCTTGTACAGAGGCACCAATTGAATGCATTCTGTTACCATTCATACGAGATACTTCAGGGTATATTCAAAATGTCGGTTTGCACGACATATTCATGTCATGGCATTTCAAAAGGTGTCCTCCGATAGACACACTGTTTCTCAGTGCATATTAAAAGCAAAATATGTATGCTGAAGTTGGAATTGTACCATCCTCCAGTGATTGGTCTTATGTACTATTAGTATAAATATTTTTAGCTTGAGAGAACATCTTGTTTTAGAATATTTTTGTCATCTTCGTATCGATTCTTTTGCTATGACTTACTTTATGTTAGGAAGAGAATATCTGTTTTCAAAGCATTTTTTGGTAGAAAAGAACTGTGAATCTAAACATATGTAGAATCACGTGTCACATCTGTTAGTGCCGCTGGGTATCGAATATTTTTTCAGCATGTTCTGTTGAGTTTAGTTTGTATATGTAGAAGCATCACTGCATTTTTACGCGTATCAACTTCATGCACACTTGATAAAAGCCGAAGACACGTGCTTTCGACTAGATTTTTCTATTGTATATCCTAGAGATTCAACTTTGCATACCATTTTTATACTATTCCTATATTTATTATAAGGATCGTATAGAAAAATTATATGGTAGTTTTGAAAGGAAAAAAAGTTTTTGTTTTCGTTACAATAGAAGTAAAAACCCACGTTGAATTTTGAACGTTTGTCTAAGAATCTCAAACGATATAAAGTATAGAAACCTTACAAGAATCTTATAATCTTATATGACGATAAGTTTTTCATACTTCGTCATATTAGAATCTTATCACTATTCCACGCGTTTCTATCGACTGCCTTATATAAGATGTCTGTGAGATTTCTATAGAATTACCATATGATTGGACGCCTACGGCAATAGTTTAATCGTGTTACTGTAAGTATCACACATTTTATTTTGTTCTTAGATTTTATAACTCATTAAACGACTCTTCCAAAGTTCTGAGGATATGAGTCCGAACGTATTATCGCCTAATTCATCATCATTATCATACAGGCAACATACAACACCCAGTACGAGTAATTTAACTGTTATTTCGAAAAAAAAGAAAAATGTTAGTTTTAGTCGAAATGCCTCCTGTCCCACACATGACTCTTTAATAAATGATGATACTTTACTTCTAAGTAAAAGAAAATCTTTTTCAACGAATATAATAAATAAATATGAATATCAAAGTGTATCGGAACTTAAACCAATTCTTAAACATCATCACCGACAGCAACAACAACGTTCGTTTCAACCAAATATGAACAATGAAAAGACAAAACTTAGTTTTATTCAACGTTTCAAACAACATCTATTAAATGTATTCAAAAATATGAAAAATAGCAATATAAAACCATCGAACACATTAAAGGAAGCTGAAAATGGTAAGTTATAGTGAAGTTTAACAAAAAAATTTATATTTAAACAGAACTGCAACTGTAACTGATGAGAAGTAATGATGAGATGATAAGCTTCTTTCAGTGGTGGATCTAGAAAATTTTTCCAATGGATGCAGAGTACTGAAAACACAATCGAACAAATTCTTTTTCGAAAAAAATGTAAAGAACGAAACTATTAACCGCTGTTTGAAATTGTAAAATGTTTTGAAATTGTAAATATGTTTTATAATTATAAGTTAGTGTATAAATCCAATCTTTGACTATTCATTAGTTTTATAGATGTTGCATATTCAAAGTTTGAAAGAAATGTTTTTAAAAGTGCAGTTGTTTATTGTTTCTTTTCTTATTTTAATTTTTTGCAGTAAGGTTTCTAGATTGAATCGTCCGAACAGACAACAGAGATAGAGCGAAGACGTACTACAAGAAAAGGAAGGCTGCATTATGAATTACCCTTCATGTTTTGAAATCACATATCATCGTAGTATCTCAAGAAGATCAGTTAACGATTTCAACAGACATTCTCCTTAATTGTAATTGAGCCAAATTTCTCCAAAATTTAATGAATTTAAAAAACATAGACAGAATTTTTGATGAAGTCTCTTTTTTTGATAACGAATAGGACATTATTAATCTTATCTAATAGTTTTTGATTATCAATAGAATAATAATGTGAATAAAGGTAAGCCGGGTGAAAATTCGAGGTTTATAATATTGCATCAATATTTGACAAGTAACGTATAAAATTTTAATATTCTTTTCATAAAATCAATAATACACTATCGACTATTGTTGTTGTTTTTACCTTGGCGAGGCGCAGAGTAAAGAAATTAATCGTTGTTGTTATTATTGTTATTTTTGTGTACACTGTATTTATTTGTTCACATCGGACGATCACTACTTTTTCTACGAACTTTTTTCTTATTTACTTGTAAATGATTTATTCAAGCAAACAACAACGATGCATTATGAATAATTTAATATTAGACAATTCTTGAGATGAATGGATGTTTCTTTACATCAAACATATGAAGAAAAAAAGTTTACTATGTTAACAAACATGTATAGAAGGCGATATGAAACTGAAAAAAAGCACGTACAAATAAATAAAAGAAAAACCGTTTGTTTTTATAATATTGTGTATGTTCTAATCAAAAGTAGTTATGACTGTGTCTCATATGCCTGATAGTTTTATTTGAAGTCTTATACTTCTTTAACGTCATCAACAGCAAATGGAGTCAATTTTTGTAGAGTTCGCGTCATGAGATCGATAAACAATTTCTCTTGAGTTTGGTATATTGCACCCTAAATACCTATTAAGATCATATATCATATAACTATGGAGTTTAAACAAAAAGAATGAGAAGAGATTTATCTTGTAGAATATAGAAGTTCTGATGATATTAATCATTTCATTCTAATCACATTACTTTGATTGATTATCAAACAGAAAAAAAAATTGTACATATATTTTTGTTTTTTCGATCATCACGCCATATCATTGCTTTTGATTGTTAAAATAACACAAAACTAAAATACATTAAACGAATATAACGTACACAAACGAAACAATCGCGTCTATAAAAATATTTCGTCATACATTAATAATGATTTGTGAAGTGTCTTTTTTACACGCTATAGTCATTTGAGATTGGTAGTTATGACCAAGTTTTCTAAGCTGAAGATTAATTAATTGCCAAAGTGAATTTAGTTGGTAAACTTCTCAAAATTTCGTATTAGATAAGCGATTTTTGATGAGCAGTTTTCTTTTACAGTAATTACCTTTCCGCTCAATTTATCGTATTGTTTGCTCTGATCTAAATCCTAGTTGCATTTCTTAGTAGTGAAACTTATAATCAAGATATTGTTAATTCTTGAATCATCGTTTCGTTTTATACCCTTGTGTTCGTATAATCAAGTCTGCATTCTCAGAACATCGACATCTCTTTCTTGATCATAGTTGTTCAAAAAAGCGTCTCATAATGTTGAAAACGGTGTAATTTACTGCCTATTAAATGTCTATCAATAGCCCATAAAATGTGTCATGACATTCTTTTATCTAGTTAACACCGTTTTTTGACCATTTTTCAGCATTATAACTAGGAACTCATTAATGTCTGAAAGTGGCATTTTTTAACGGCCAAGAAACAGGCTGAAAACAAGCATTTAATAGTGACCGTTTAATAGCGATTTTTGCGTAATTATTGGCTGTTTATGGCTAAGGATTCGACTCTTGATCACGACTAATTTCTTTCTGATAATTACTATGAAATAAATGACTGTTCAAATTTTTGAATATTTTCGGTTTTCCACCTATGATCGATGGCATTACTGGTGCCATACCTGTAACCAGTGGCTACTTCCTCAATACAAGTTTCGATGACTTATGTAGTTGAGAAGAACGAAACTCTACGTTTTCTATGGTCAGTGAAACAAAAGAGCGAATTAAACGGTAAATGTTAAACGTTTTTGTCTGTTTATGTAACGATCATAAAATGAACACAATTAATTGTTTGTTTTTAGGCCATCATTAACCCTTTCCAACCGGATGTTGCCATTTGGCAACATTGAGTCAGTATTTTGTGGGATTAACTGATTGCGGAAGTATATATCTTTTTTTTAAAATTGAATAATTATCTTTATACATCGTGATGTGTATACATGTATTCGAGAACAAAAAATATTCTTTTTTTGGGCGAGTAATTAGATTCACACGTAGACTCCTAGAAGAGTGTTCAAATCATAAAAACTTGTTTCTTTCGTGCCCGAAGATTTAATATTGAGAGTACTTACCGATCAATTTTGCTTAGTAGAGCTGCTATATATAGCTGACCTAACATATTTAGTACATCTCAACAATAAAAAATGTACTTGCTGTCATTGGCACTATCCGGCCACAAAAGTACAACAATTTTTTAAAATTAGTTTTCTGTCTGCAGTTGCCAGACGTAATATACTACAAATGAATTTTTTACAACTCTGGTTTGGTAGCCGACTAGAAAGGGTTAAAGGGTCAGATGAAGGACAATAAGTAGTGCCTGTTAACTGACCAATTTTTCACAATTAAAAGCCTGTTGAAACCCTGTTGTTCGCCATTTATGTCCTATTAAATGTCAGTTATTTTTTACCTGGGTAATCATCATACATAGTAATATGTCTGACGTAAAAGAAATTTTTCATTCATGATTTTGAAGAAATTTACTGTCGAGATCTTGAAATATTTTTGTAAAATTAATAAGTAATTAAGTTACTTACCAATTAACTTACTGAACCAAGTCTAACAGTTGACTATTCACAAAGTTATTTTCCAAATACGTACTCTATAAATAACAAATAGGGAGTTCATGAGAGGACTTTTATCACTTTCTTATAAAAGGCTAAAAAATTTATTATCAGTGGACTGTTTTATTGTTAGTCATGAATTTAAGCACAGGCTTAAGTCAACGTTTACTTTGTTGTAATGCATCGTTAAGACAACTCCGGAGATGTCTTACGTCAATGATTAACTTGAGGTCACGTTCTATAAGAGAGAAAGAGTTCAAATCAAAACATGTCGCCAATAAAATGAAGGGAACAGTGCACATGACCAGACATGTTTCATGAGAAAATGATAGTGTGCGATAGTTTCGAAACAGTAAATATGGTGTATAATCTTATACAAACAAGTATAGAATATCATTAGAAAAAGCTTAACGAAACGACAAAATAATTCGATAGATAGAAAAAAAAAAAGCTTGACAGGTCTATACCGAACATCTCGTATTGTTAACGGTAATGAACTGCGATAGTAAATGAAAAGCCGGATCTCTTTCGCAAAGATATCGAGAATTTCTAAAATTATATTCAATTATTTCTGATACTAAACTGGTGATAAAATTATTGAAAAAGTAGAAAAATAATATTTCTGAGATAAAAGGTCAGTAATAAACACTTTCAGAATTCTTACCATAAAAAAAACAGCAAGAACCGTTAACTATACCGTTTTCGTTGACCTGGGTAGGTTCTATGTATACCTATCCTATAAGTACATGTCATGTTGTTATCATAACTTGATGACCGTTAATTCTATTGTTAACCAACTTTCGAAACGGTTAATCATAAAACATGACACGTTTAGCCAAAAAATACTTTTTTATGAAGAATTTTAATTGCTACTTCTTTTTTAAACTTATTCCCAAGCCATGAAAATATAGTTAATTATATCAGTAAAGTTTTTTTTATTGTATGATTGTTATTGCGACATTTTAAACTTCTTTTAAAAAAAGGGTTGGTAAGAGCGCGAGAATAAGGGAAGAAATAAGTTTTTGTGCGTTTTAAAATAAGAGATTTTAGCATAAATGGAGTAAAACGCCTATTATAACTAATCAAAGAATTTGAGTCAACAACGAAAGTAAAATGAACAAGAACTTGTCGAAAGTGATTTATTTTGTATTTTTCATTTTTGACAACACAGCAGTTTGCATCAAATATTAAGGATACTAAACGGACTAGTCCTATGAAAAATTGTTTCTTTCCATATCCCTTGTATGAGATTTAGTCTCTTTAGAACAGACTAGAACTCGAAACTGAAAACAGAAAATTTTTTTTTCTCGAAGGTCGAAGAATCGAGGAACCCTAACTGCTTGCTGGCCATAAGGGCCGCGGCCCGGAAGACATAATTAGTTGAGCCAACAAAATGATAGAAATAAATTGGCACGTGTATAGCAACGTGACAAGGCGAAATCACAAGGGTCAATGTATATATAAAAATATCGTACAGAGAACGAGATGCAAAGAAACGAAGAAGCGTCCGTTCGCGACGATGATAAATGAAGTATGAAAACAGAAAAAATTGCGAATATATTTTCTACTATTTTTCAAAATAAAACAAGTTGAAACACGTTCGTCTTGTAAACCAGTTCATGTTATTACATTAACATCACATTAATAGTTTTCGAATATCTCTCCTCTGAGATATTATTGACGTGTTGAACCTCTATTAAGAGCTGCAAGCGACTTAATCCTTTACTAATTCTTTGCGAAATATAAATTTCCGGTCGATAAATATTGTAAAGGTTTTATTAACTAAACTTTTTGTTCTTAGTGTTAGGTTATCAAAACATGACATATTTTGATTATGATGACGAATTGGATATAACAGAAGAAAATGAATTAATGTTAACAAATCGTCTTTTGGATGTTTTACGTGAAAGTAAACTGAAACATTTGAATTGTGGTGATCTATTTGTGCCATGTAATCATATCAAAAATATTTCCAAACAAATGTTAATGATGGCTGCTGAAGAGCCGTTTGGTATACACGGTGCAAAGATCAATATCAAACTGTTGAGTAAACAACGAGACGAAGAAGAAAAACTGGTACAGACAATAAAAGTTGATGCGACGAAACAGTCCACATTTGAGATTGAAATACAGTTGCATGAAGATCAAAAGATATTCAGTTTACGACGTTTCTTATCATTGATGACTAAATCGAAGATGAAATTGATTGAACAATTAAAAAACAGGAGTCCAATTTACATTAGTCCAAATTGTAAACTAATTAAGACACGTTATTATTGTCATGAAAAACCAAAAATAGTCTGTGTTGAACCATGAAGGTGACAGCAAACTTAGTGACGTTCCCGGTATTGCGGTCAGTAATTACTACTTTCTGCCATAACATTAAAAATGAATATTTCTTTCTTTGTATTAGTCTCATTTTTGACAGTAGTTTATGCAGTTTAATATTCCCCCCTAACTAGAAAATTATATTAACGATCTTTTTTTCTTTAATTTATTTTTATAGAAATTAATCTAGTTTTCATTATTTTGTTATCAACAAGTCAGATTTTTTTCTATTCTCTTGGTGTTGTTTGAATAATAAACAATTTGTATTTGTTTTTTCTAATCGCTATTATAGTGTTTCTAATTTAATCTCGTAATGTTTTTTCGTTCTAATTAGTTTATATAAATACCTGAATTACTTATCATTTTTTTTGTCATATTGATAAAAAGCATAGTCCAGCATTAAATTCTTTAGTTTGTATGCCAGATTTAGACTTATTATTTTTTTTTCATTCTTTTATACCTACAATAGAAAAAAAAAACATTGTTAAATTTGAAAAATATTTAAATATCTCCACATCTGTTCATTTATGTTTAAATTTCAAATGTGTAGTAGTATATAGTTAATTTACTTTCTCTTTTTGTGTACAAAGAATTGAGGTGAATGTGTGAGATATAAATGTACTTTTTTGTTTTATTTCCATTATTAAGGTTTAAACAAGCCAATATACTTGAATTTTTAACCATATTGTTATCATATGGCCGCCTAAATTTTTTTTTTCCTTCTTTTGTTTCGTTGTTTTGCTTCTATTATACTTGTTTTCAATAAAATATACATACATACATATTGTTGATCGTATCATTTTCTCTCGTTTTATAAATCAATTTGGATAAATGTTATTCATCTTATTTAAGACTAAATCTATGTTTATGATCTGAACGGCTTATTTTTATGTTCAGCTTAACATTAAATATATGAACTCATTTTATTCTTCAAATGCATAATTATTAACTGAGACTCTTTGAACTCGAAAAAAAATTGCTATATTGATAATGTTGATATTGTGTACAGAGACTTAAATTTAACGATGGATGTTTAACTATGGATAAAATAAATATAACATATTAGATCATTCAACTATTTTCAAGATTCATTAATGAACTATAGTTACTAAAACTTATTAGTTTAGAAAGACAACATTTTTTAATTAAATTGTAAAGCTTTAACCATAGTATTGTCCATTGTATTTCGTTGTTGCTGTTTCTTCGCAACAATAAAGACTGTCTAAGTTGAAAATTAGGTATATCAAACATAGAAATGACTTAACAAAATGTTCTTCTAGTACAACGCATTTGCAATGTCGAAGGAGACGGAAGAATATTACAATATTTCACTAATCTCTGATTTTTTAAAATAATTGTCAACAGCGAACTAAAATATGCTCATTATAGTATATAAGAATCGGAGAACATAGAATAATGTGTATAAATCTCTCTATATAATTCTCTTTACGTTTCAATTGAGACAGATTCCATAAATATGTATGTAGTACATTTGTCGTTTTCATCGTATTCTGTAGATTTGAAAACATAAAGGTCGACCGAAAGACATTTCTATTAAAATTAATTAAAATTTTATCCATTAAACATCATATATGAAATCGAGATTGTTACCGAAGATATTTTTATTCCTTTTAAAATCTTTTCCCCTATATCGAGGGGGAGATTGATAGACTGTTTTTATTCTATTGATAAATAAATTTGATTCTTCATCACATGCAATTGATAAGATATAGATTATTTGATGACATTGATTTTTCATGATGCAGTGATTATCAACATGCTTTTTACCAAATATTTTAGATCGTGCAGTTTGCGATAACATTTTCAGTGCTAGAATAAAAAACAAAATATCAAAACTTTATTGAAAATCAGTTAAATTTCAGTAAAAATTTTTCATCTTCGTTAATACAATCATTTTTATTCTGTTTCACATTTCTTATACAGAAGAATTTTCGTATGGGCTACATATCTGTTTCAGATTATACGAGAACAACGAATTAGCTGTAATAGAATTTATTTTTATTATACCACTGATAATTTCACTAATAAACAATTGTTTAAATATTTCAAACAATATAGTAAAAATAATAACTATTTCAGTATTAAATGATACTCATTGGCATGACAATCGTCCAGGACAATTCGAGTATCCAAAAATCTTCCGTGAAAAATTATACATATTAATACCATATATTCAATAGAATCTCTAGCCAAAAACGAGACGAAAAACACTCATTGTTGACAGTGACCATAGTACGAGGTAAACACAATTTTGTGAGACGGATCGTATAGTTTATACTGTCTATGTAGGTTTCAATTTGGATATTGGGTAAAATTTTTGATTTCTTGGAAAAATATCATGTAAATTTAATGACAATACAGATTGATACATGAATTCATTGTATTTAAGTGCTCATGAAATCATCTGGACAATTGTTGGAAAAGGAAAAGTCGTTTACATTAGACTGTGACGATGAATAACAAAAATCATTGAAACATACAGTCGATATTATTTGTTTTGTTACATTACATGTTAATACAACATACAGAGAAATTATAATATTTTTTATTATTTTTGACTAAATATTTCTTATGATTATTTTTGATACGCTGAAGAATATTATAAAAATATATGAGCCAAATCATCTTTAATTCATCCAGAATCAATTTAACAGAAGATGTCGCTATTAACGTTTCTTCTACTAGTAAACATGTAACAATCATGAACATGACTATACTTTCAAGAGCCGGGTATTTGACGAACATGACTCTAACATATATGGATAATGGAATACTTATATACGAGAACGAGAAATATATCTAACGTAATTGTCGAAACACATACCATTTCATTACAATATAAAGTTGTGTTGCGGACAAATCATTAAAATTTTATTGGTTCAATAGAGCACTGTAAAAAACGAAAAAGAGAAGCATGACATCGATATTATTATGAATAGAAGACAAAAAGATTATAAACATACTCCAATGAATTATAGATTATATACGTTGCACAAAAGTACAACAGAGAAAACCAAACGACTGAGACGCAAATCTGTTAAAAAATAAAAAATATGAAGATGATTTAAAAACTTATACGGAACTTCGCAAAGCAGCGATACATTTATTCGCAGATTGAATAATAGATAAAACTTAATAGATAAAATAACAGATAAATTACTTCTTTGTAGACTCTCGAGCATGTCTGTTCGTGCATACCTAAATGAATTGCCTGATCAACAAGTCTTATACAAGTTTACTGAAAATTTGCAATCTGATGACGCTTACCGTGCCCTCAGTAGTTTTCATATGCAAGAACATAAATTATTACAAGAAATAAGAAAAATGCTGGAAAAACGTATTCTTCTTGATCTGGACTA